TTAACCTGGTTCAGCCTGGTTCGGTCCATACGTCATGCACACACTGAGGTCTGGAGGGGGCTGGCTGGTGAGTGGTTGGTATGTGAGTCTGGGCCGAGTGAGCGACGGGAGGAGGGGACTCAGAGTTGAGTTTAGGATACATTCTTCAGCTTCCTCTATAAGTAAACGCATTATCCCCGACGCCGCGTTTCGGTTCTCGCCACGTGACGACGCTCAAAGCTGCACTGCGGAACATTTTCTACCTGGAATTATTATTTGAGCGACAGAAACACGCGTAAATAATAAATACTAGACGGATATGCAGCGGGAAAGTTGCGCAGTGCAGCTTTAAGGCGAGATTAATCACGAATGAACCAAAAAAAAAACTCGCAATCAGCAATTTATTTTTTTTTTAAGTCCTATAATTTCCCCCGACAAATAAAATCTGTCAGTCGTCTTGTGTATAAAAGCTGCTGACTCTGTAGTTTAGATCTGCACAAACTTGTTGTGAAATGTGATTCTGGTTTTAGTTCGTCAAGTTCAGATTTCAGTCTTTTTCTGTCGATTCTTCTGGACGTGTTTCAAATGTGAACTTTGAACAGAATTGCATTTAATTAATTTTAAACCAAACGGAAATTTCTAACAAGTATCGCAGTGCTTGTTAGTAGGGATGCACTGATACTGATACAGGTAATACTTCTTTAATATGCTCGTTCTCGTCGATACCACTATTACACGAAACATTACGCAGTATCCCGGTTTCAGTATCCCAGTTATGAGAAACCGGAATAAATAAAGTGACTGTACATGAGTGAAATGACTGTTAAATAAAGTCACACGTACGACCTGAACGTGTACGATCTGTACTCGTACGACCAGCGTGCGTACGACCTACAGACGTAAGACTTGCACACGTACGACCAGCGCGCGTACGAACTACAGACGTAAGACTTGCACACGTACGACCTACAGACGTAAGACTTGCACACGTACGACCTACAGACGTAAGACTTGCACACGTACGACCTACAGACGTAAGACTTGCACACGTACGACCAGCGCGCGTACGAACTACAGACGTAAGACTTGCACACGTACGACCTACAGACGTAAGACTTGCACACGTACGACCAGCGCGCGTACGAACTACAGACGTAAGACTTGCACACGTACGACCAGCGCGCGTACGAACTACAGACGTAAGACTTGCACACGTACGACCAGCGCGCGTACGAACTACAGACGTAAGACTTGCACACGTACGACCAGCGCGCGTACGAACTACAGACGTAAGACTTGCACACGTACGACCAGCGCGCGTACGAACTACAGACGTAAGACTTGCACACGTACGACCAGCAGACGTACGACCAGCGCACGTACAACCAGCAGACGTACGACCAGCGCGCGTACGACCTACAGACGTAAGACTTGCACACGTACGACCTACAGACGTAAGACTTGCACACGTACGACCAGCAGACGTACGACCAGCGCACGTACGACCTACAGACGTATGACAAGTGCGGGTACATACTGCACGCACACCACTAGGCACTTACGACCTGCAGACATAAGACCTGCACATGTACAACCTGCACACATACAACCTGCACACCTATGACATGCACACGTACAACCATGGAAACTGAAGGGTGTTGCTTCTTGTATCTGCCTCCAGTTGACGTAGTGACACTCACTGGTTCTACAGCGGAAAAAATCCCTCCGACCAAGAAAGGATTTTTCTCATAGAGCGAAATGTAATCACAAACTGCTCGTGTTCATCTGACAGGGCACATACAACTTTCAAAAATGTCGGATTTTGTGGCGATTTTTACCTATTTTTATATCATAAACTTTTTCTCAGCTCAAAATCCTTCAGTCGCCTTAAAAAAAAAAACACTTTATAATTGTTCGTTCCGGCACCGCTCTAGCTCCTGATTGGTCAAAGCGATCACGTTATACACAAGACCAGGGTTTTAAGTTTAGTTTCTGTAAAATGTAAACAAATGTGCTCAAAGCTGTATTAAACACATTATAATCTCATGGTTGTTTGTATATTTCCTGGTTTATTAAATATATAATTTTTTCGCTTGAGCATTTGTAAGATTTTGTCAAGAAACCGGGATACTACATTTGATCATGTACACAGGGATATGAGTGTCCCTGTTTCTCAGCGCACATGTATATGCAGTATCCCAAATTCTGCCATAACCGGGATACTGATGTGCATGTAAATGCACTCAGTGTATGTTTATGGAGGTGGGAGTTAAAGTATCGGTATCGGTACTCAGTATCAGCAAGTACAGAAGTGAAAATATCACACTTATATTTTTCTCAAATTTTTCAGCTCTAATATATCGGCTTTAATCACAATCAAATCTAGAATGTGATTAGACTGTTGCAATTAGCAAATTAGAAAAGCCATGGGTACTACTACTACTACTACTACTACTACTACTACTACTACGAGGATAATACAATAATAATTATGACATAATATTAATTAAAATGTAAATATAATAATTTTTGAAGTATCAGACAAATGTGAAAATACTGAAAAATTTGTCAGACTATATTTTTTAATTAGCATTTCAACATTTTTAAAAATAATTAACAATATAACAGTGAGATATTTAAATTTTACGTAATTTAAAAGGACTTGTACACAATTTTTCGCCATATATTTGAGCAAAATGTGTCTTGCCCAAGTACTTGCTTGTACGTGCTCTTGAGATGAAAATAAGTTTGCTGTATGCTGTCAGGAATCAGGATGTGCACATTAGCTTGCCAGTTGTTAGATTTAAACTCCGCTCTAGTCTCTTAAAGTTGTGAAAAGCTCTTATAAACTCACATTTTTTCACCTTTCACATTTTTTTAAAACCGCAAAAAATCAGTTACGGTGTCTTTAAAAAAAAAAAAAACAAAACAACAACATTCGCAATATTTTCAAAAGCATAACACATCCCATAGAATATTATACACAAAATTGTCTTTTCTTTTTCCTTTTCAAATCATTTTTAAAATCCAAAGACGCCGATTTGATGTGGGACATGTTGAGAACGCCCACGCTCCATTGGCACACAAGCTGTCATTTGTTCTTTTAAGCTTTTCAAAAAAAAAAAAAAAAAGGGAAAGAACGAAAGAACAAAAAAACATGGCGCAAATCACTCCCTCTCTTTCGCTCTTTTTCTCTTTCTCTCTCTCCGTCTCTCCTCCTGCGTTTTTAATGGTAGCCAACAGCCCACGGACAGCGAGCGTCAATGCAAGAACAATTATGCAAATGTTTCGTGAAAATCGCTTCGGACGTGGCGTAATCCGGCAATCAGTGCATTATCGTAATTGAGGAACGCGGGGAGGTTTTTAGACGGTGAAAAGAGAGACGCCGGCGCTTTTATTTTTTATATGCAAATGGGAACAAAATGGTTTAATATGTCAAGTGTAATTTTTTTATGTAATTGAGAGAGACGGAGAGACGGATGGAGAGACGGACGGTGAGAGAGAGGCCACCTGATGATTAGAAGAGTGATCGAACTGTCGGTTTAAGCAAGTTGGAGCAATTATTAAATCATTTCAGGCACAATGAAGTGAAGTCTGCAGGAATTTGAGTCCTGGTTTAACCCTGTTTAGGCCTGGTTTAGCCCTGCTTTAGTCCTGTACAGTTCAGATCTGGTTTAGTCATGTTTAGGCGACGTTAAGACCTGGTTTAGTCCTGCTTTAGCCTTTGTTTAGTATTGGTCTAGTCCTGGTTTAGTCCTGTCTTAGTTTTGATTAAGTTCTGGATTGGTCCTGGTTTAGTCCTGGTGTGGTTCTGCTTTAGCTCTGGTTTAGTTCTGGTTTAGTCCTGTCTTAGTTTTGATTTAGTTCTGGGTTAGTCCTGTTATGGTTCAGCTCCGGTTTAGTCATGTTTAGTCCTGATGTGGTTCTGGTTTAGTCCTGGTTTAGTTCTGGGTTAGTCCTGTTTTAGCCTCTGTTTTCTGTTTAGTACTGGTCTAATCCTGGTTTAGTCCTGTCTTAGTTTATATTTAGTTCTGGGTTAGTCCTGGTATGGTTCAGCTATGGTTTAGTCATGTTTAGTCCAGGTTAAGACCTGGTCCTGGTTTGTACTGGTTTAGTCCTGGTGTGGTTCTGGTTTAGCTCTGATTTAGTCTTGGTTTAGTCCAGGGTTAGTTCTGGTTTAGTCCTGGTTTAGTTCTGGGTTAGTCCTGGTTTAGTCCCATTTTAGTTTTAATTTAGTCCTGGTTTAATCCTGGATTAGTTCTGTTCCAGTCCTGGTTTAGTCCTATTTTAGTTTTGACTTAGTCCCAGTTTAGACCTTGTTTAGCCCTGGGTTAGTTCTGGTTTTGTCCCAGTTTACTAGGGTTTAGCCTCTGTTTAGTACTCGTCTAGTCCTGGTTTAGTTTTGGTCTATTCCTAGTTTTGTCCTAGTTGAATCCTGGTCTGGTTCAGCTCTGATTTAGTCATGTTTAGTCCTGATTTAGTTCTAGTTTAATTTTGATCTATTCCTAATTTATTTTTAGTTTAGCAGAGTTGTAGACCTAATTTTGTCCTGTTTTAGCCTTGGTTTAATCCTGATTCAGTCCTGGTTTAGCCCTGGTTTAGCCTGGTTTAGCCCTGGTTTAGCCCTGGTTTAGCCCTGGTTTAGCCCTGGTTTAGCCCTGGTTTAGTCTGGTAGAACTGACGGTTGAACAAGTTAGGGCAATAATTAAATTGTGCAAGCAGGAATTTGACATTTCTGGCAGAAAAGTGGCCTAAACCCGAGTCCTGGTTTAGTTCTGATTTAGTCCTGGCTTAGTCTGGGCTTGGCTCTGGATTAGTCCTTGTTTAGTCTTGTTTATCTTTTGTTTAAAATGTCAAGTTGAAGTTTTAAATGAGGAGAGAGAGAGAGAGAGAGCGAGACCACCTGACGATTTGAAGAGTGATAAAAACGAACAAGTTGGAGCAATTACGAAATGATTTTAGACACATTGTGCAACCAGGAATTAGCTTTTTCCGGTGAGCAAAGACTGAAGTGTACTTACAAAATTGTCAAAAAAACCCTGACGAGAAGGTTCCTGGTTCAATTCCCAGTGGAGTTTGCATGTTCTATGTGTGTCCGGGTGCTCTGGTTTCCTTCATAAACCTAAAACATGGAACAACTTGATGATAATCCTTCAATTACTGCTCCAAATAACACAATAAGGGCTAATACTTGTCCTGGTTTAGTCCTGGTTTAGTCCTGGTTTGTTCCTGGTTTAGTCCTGGTTTAGTCTGAGCCTAATTTGAGTCTAGTCTTGTTTAGTCCTGGATTAGTCTGGGTTTAGACCTGTTTTAGTGTTAAATTACTCCTTGTTTAACCCTGGTCTAGTCCTGGTTTAGTCTTGGTTGAGTTCTAGTTTAGTCTTGGTTTAACTTTGGTTGAGTCCTAGTTTAGTCCTGGTTTAGGTCTGGTTGAGTTCTAATTTAGTCCTGGTTTTAGCCCTCATTTAGTCCTGGTTTAGTTCTGGTTGAGCCCTAGTTTAGTCCTGGTTTAGCCCTGATTTAGTTCTGGTTGAGTCTTAGTTTAGTCCTGGTTTTAGCCCTGGTTGAGTTCTAGTTTATTCTTGGTTTAGTTCTGGTTGAGTCCTAGTTTAGTCCTGGTTTAGTCCTGGTTTAGTGTTGGTTTAGTCCTGGTTTAGACCGTGGTTTAGTCCTGGTTTAATTCTAACTGAGTCCTACTTTAGTCCTGGTTTAGCCCTGGTCCAGTCCTGGTTTAGCCTTGGTTTAGTCCTGGTTTAGATCCTGGTTTAGTCCTGGTTTAGTCCTGGTTTAGTCCTGGTTTAGTCCTGATTTGGACCCTAGTTTAGACTCTGGTTTAGACTCTGGTTTAGTCCTGGTTATGTATAAGTAGTAAGAGCTAGCTGTTTAACTTTTACTGATTGTTACTAAAAACTACAATTTACCAACATAAAATTATCACCAACATTAAATATTTTGGCCAGATGTCTTACCAGCACTGAAATATCACCCTTACTCACGTTAGTACGTGGTTAAAATGTCAAAAATCCAAGAACTGTAGTGATTTTGTGGATTTTGTGCTCATTTCTGTCTTCAGACTTGGCACTGAACTTAGCCGCGTTAGCTTAGCCCCGTTAGCCGCGTTAGCCGCAGGTGCGCTCCTCTGCTGTTTGGGTGGGGTTTGTACCGCCACCTATGGACAAACTTGAGAATTACAACAACAAATACATAAAAAAATTAAAATAAAATAAATAAAATCTTCTAAACTAACTTTTATTTTAGCTTTTAACAATGGTAAAATACAGTTTCTTTGTTTTAATCATGAAAGAAAATTACTATAAAGAATTTAGTTTAAAAAATTATAAGTAACAAGTCAAAGTAGCATAAGTAGTACGAGCTAACTGGTTAACTGTTTCTTACTGTTACAAAAACATAAATTCTTCTAAACTAACTTTTATTTTAGCTTTTAACAATGGTATAATGTAATTTCCTCATTTAAATCAAATTAGAAAATTACTATAAAGAATTGAGTTTAAAAATTATACGTAACTAGCCAAAGTAGCATAAGTACTGCAAGCTGGCTAGTTAACTGTTTTTTATTGTTACTAAAAATTGAAAATTACACAGTCAGATACATTAAAAAAACATAAATTCTTCTAAACTAATTTATTTTAGCTGTTAACAATGGTATAATGTAGTTTCCTCATTTTAATCATATTAGAAAATTACTAAAAATAATCGAGTTTAAAAATTTAGAGATCTAGCCAAAGTAGCATAGGTATAGCATAGCATAGCATAACTGTTTCTTACTGTTACTAAAACTTGAAAATTACGCCGTCAAATACGTTTAAAAAAACATAAATTCTTCTAAACTAACTTATTTTAGCTTATAATAATTGGATAATGTAGCATAGTTACTAAGATATTTACTGTTGCTAAAACTTGAAAATTAGTCATTTTAATTAATAAAAAAATAATACAAAACAACTAAATTCCACTAAACTAACTTATAATTTAGCTTTTAACAATGGTGTAATGCCGTTTCCTCATTTAAAACATATATAGACATGCTAATCATTTTCTTACATAGATAAATTTGACTTTGTAGTTCTTTACAGGCAATATTACCTTATATTTATATTTTGGAAGTTTTTAGGTTCCAGTATATGGTTAAAAATGTACTCAAGGTGATAAAGTACCAGTTTTTAGTGTTAAAAATTTGGGAAAAGCTACAATTAAAGCCCCTAAATAAAAATATCTTGGTTGATAGTGATGCAGAAATTCCATGAAAAATATTTATGCGGAAAACAAAATGATCTAATTTCTACGTAAGCCTATTTCTAAGACATTTTATTATTATTATTATCTTTTTAAAAAAATTTTTATCAGGTACAACGTCTTTACGTTTAACGCTTAATGCTGCACTGTGGAATATTCCTGTGATATAGCCGTAGCAGATATTTGGACGGTACAAGCCCATTTGTTCAAACAGCGACAGTTGGAGTAAATCTCGTCAGCTGTGCCGCTCCGCCTGCTCCACGCCGCCATCTGCTGCTCGTGCGAGAACTCCAAATTTATACAACGCATTATTATTTATTATTCACTGATGCGGCGATTGTAAAAATAAAAAAAAACCCGAAAACGATGCCGAATTTTTAGCGTTTGGTAAAGATAGTGTGACCTAATTGTAGCCCCATTCCATTTCAATGTGTGAGAGTCATTTCCCCACATTTATGTAACACTGAGCCTATTCTAAATTAATTATACTGCGCAGTTAACAGTAGAGAAGTAGATTTAAATTTTCTACATAAAATTAAATTATTAAAACAACTATTAAAGGTCCTGTATTATGCAAAAATTTACTCTTGTGAGCTTTAAATTGTTGTTGTTGTGTGTTGTTTTCTCCTCAAAAACAGACCTGGAGTTGTGTTTTTTTTTCATTCACACGTGTTTGAGTAACTTTTTATTCACCTCCAAATGCTCTGTTCCACCTTGTGATGTCATGAAGTGTTGGTTTTCAAGTTTACAGCTCCTTTTACCTTTGGTTTAAAAAAAAAAAAAAGGGCTATAAAGTTAGTGTAGAACGTCGACAATTTGGGTTATTAATTAAAAATGTGAAAAACAGAAGCTGCACATTTCGAGCTGAGGGTTTGTCAAATGTTTGTCTCCATGGAAATTATTATTGCTTTGTCTAGAAATGTTCCACAGTGCAGCTTAAACCATCAGATAAGCAGGTTACGGCACTACGCTTCATTACAAGTCAGATCTGTGGAGAGGCGTCCCTATTCACAGAAGGAATTATTTCATTTTGAGCAACAGAAACACCTGTAGTGAGTAAATGTTAGATGGATATGTTTTAAAGTCATACCAGGGAACATTCCAGGCAAAGCAATAACATCTGCATGGAGACCAGAAAAGTTGCGCAGTGCAGCTTTAAACAGTTTGCAGTGGGCCAAAGTTATTCACTCACTTACCTTATGCATTCAGAGCGTCCCAATTATTTATGAGTTTACAAGAGTTTTTCACAGCGTTGAGAGACCACAGCGGAGTTTTGTCATCACGGTAAAACTAACAATTAGCATACTAACGAGCACTTCCTGATTCTTGGACAATAAAATGCTTTATTAGCTGCAGGCAGTTCACGGCAGAGTTATTTTGACCTCAAGAGCTGCTTTTACAATACTGGGGCAAGACACATTTTGCTCAAGTGGAGAGTTAAAACTGACTCTCACAGAATAAATTTTTAACATTTTCTCAGGGTTTATATGAGTCCAGTCTGTTCTAGAGTTAATTTAACATTTTTGGAAATGTTAATTAAGTAACACTGGAGCAAAGTTCCTGTTTAACCCCAAAATCAAGAGTTGTATTAATGTTTTAAGAGTGAACTGATAACACTTTGTAGGGTTATCCTGATTTAGCTAAACAACACACAGAGGTGTTTTATTTTCACACTTTATTTGAGTTAATTTAAGATGAAATTATGAACAAAAAATTATGTTTAAACTGGTCTTCTCTCACGGGAGTCTGAAGTGAAGTGGTGGGTGGAAGGAGGCAAATTAACACTAAAGGAAGTTAAATTAACACTAGGGGAAGTTTAATTAACTCTAGAGGAAGTTGAATTAACACTAAGGAAATTTAAATTAACACTAAGGGAAGTTGAATTAACTTCAACGAATTCAACTCTGGCAAATAATCCCAACTCGAACTCCCATGTAACTTTCAAATAGTTAAAATAACACTTTTTGTGTTAAAAAACAACTCTGAAACTATTTTACCCTGAAATTTTAACCCTCCAACTTTTGCAGTGTACATGGAAAAAAAAGTCTGAGAAAAACACTTATTTTATTTTTTTATTGGCTTTGTGCATGATGTAACTTTTCTAGAGGATCCACCACCTGCTTGTCGCCATAGATACGTAATTGCGTTGCCTGGAATATTCCACAGTATAACATTAAACCTACGGCTCTAGTTACAGGTCAGATCTGTGGAGAGGCGACGCCGCTCACAGCATTATTTTCAAGTTTTTTTTAAGCAACGTAAACACAAGATTCACTCAATTCTGCCATACTGTGGAACGTGGAACATTCCAGGCAAAACGACACATCTCCATGGAGACAAGACAGGTGGCACGCTCTCATCAGAAAAGTTACACAGTTCGGCTTTAACTTTAACTTAAAACATTGAACTGCCAAATGCTTTTAACCTGTTATTCCCCATGAGACATTTGCGGCTCCTCTTTTGTCTTGAACGGCGTCCAGGATCCTCCCACACTGCGTTTTTTTTCCCCCCCTCGTTTTGCAGCACTTTGCACTAATTACTCCCCGTTTCCATGGCGACGGCTAGCACCTCGTATATTTTGTTAGCGTCGATTCGAGCCGGTCGCAAACATCATTCAGAGCGGTTGATATTTAGTTTGAGTGCTCCAATTGTGCTCCTCTCAACCCTGAAATTATCTAAAAACAACACAGAAAAACAGGCGAACAAATCCCTATAGAAGAAACATGCAGCGGAAAAAATTAGCATTACAATTATTTATATATTTAATACAATGGTTTCAAAAATTATAATATTATCACCGTTTGTTTCTGTCATTTTTAAGAATTTATTGCATATA